GCCATATAGATTAGGTTGTGTGGTTTTTTGTTAGAAGTTGTGCACCTAATGGAGCATGTGTTGAGGTCCAAACTTGATTAATTAAGCCTATGTTAATTGCTGATACAGTTGGACTAGTATATATGAGAAGGTTTGACCCTATTTGGATATCTGATTGTATCATGTCAGTTTCTTTTACTTAGTTTATTATGAATCTACTGTAAATTTTTTTAATTATATATATGTATTTTAAGAAATCTTCAAACTTTTACAGGTGCATTGACGAAACTAAAGATTGCAGGTGAAGTGGTCCATCCTCTCATAATTTCAATTGTCAACAAGGAGGTAGAAATTTACTAACATGGTCTATTATGATTGCAGGGGCAGTCCTAGGTCCGACTTTTCTTCTTGTAGTTGTCATTGCAATGTATCATGTCTACAGATCAAACAAAATAAAGAAAGCAGATCAAGTAAAGATTGACAAATTTTTGGAGGATTACAAAGCTCTCAAACCTGCAAGATACGCTTATGCAGATATCAAGAAAATAACAAATCAATTTGAGGACAAAGTAGGCCAAGGAGGTTACGGAATAGTGTACAAGGGAAAGCTTTCCAATGATGTTTATGTCGCAGTCAAGATCCTTAACAATGTGAAAGGAAATGGAGATGAGTTCATCAATGAAGTGCAAACAATGGGTAGAATCCACCATATCAATGTGGTTCGCTTGGTAGGATATTGTGCTGATGGATTCAGAAGAGCTTTGCTTTACGAGTTCTTGCCAAACAATTCACTTGAAAAGTTTATAGCCTCTGATCAACAAAAGCGTTCACTTGGTTGGAAGAAACTGGAAGACATTGCTCTTGGTATAGCTAAAGGAATTGAATATCTTCACCTCGGGTGTGATCAACGAATCTTGCACTTTGATATTAAGCCTCACAACATCTTGTTGGACAACAAGTTTAACCCAAAGATCTCTGATTTTGGTCTAGCAAAATTGTGTTCGAAGGAACAAAGTGCTGTATCCATGACTACTGCTAGAGGGACTGTGGGCTACATTGCACCCGAAGTATTCTCCAGGAACTTTGGGAATGTGTCGTACAAATCAGATGTTTATAGTTTTGGGATGTTGTTGCTAGATATGGTTGGAGGGAGGCAAAATACGGTAACACAAAACATGAGTGAGTGTTATTTTCCGGAGTGGATATACAAACGTTTGCATCAAGGAGAAGATCTAGGAATACAAATTGAGGAAGACGGAGATGCGAAAATTATAAGGAAACTAACAATTGTGGGACTTTGGTGCATACAATGGTACCCAGTGGACCGACCATCGATGAAAGTTGTGGTACAAATGTTGGAAGGAGATGGAGACACTCTAATAGTCCCCCACAGTCCATTTGCCTCCACAAGTCCAATGCCAATGACGGGAACAACGGGTGGGAGAACTTTTAATAGTGAGTTAGAAGTAATTTCTGAATCTGAATAAGAGAATGAACTAGTAATAAAAGTTGTTGATTATATAATAGGAATTAATCTTATTGTTCTCACCAATGAGTGTATAATTAATTGTTTATCAATGTATTATTATAACCTTTCAATACTACATATTGTGCATTGCCTTTGTATTAAGAGTCATCTTACAAATGGTTCACTCTGTATCAGAAGGATTTATGATTTCGTATCAAAGTTGTATCAGAATGCATATCACCAATGGCCAAACCACAGTAAATCTAGAGAATGATTCAATCGCGAGCTCATCGAGGAAGGCAATGATGGTGGGTTTGAAGTCTGCAATTTCAACCATCATCAACAATCAAAATCAAAGAAAAAATGTCCTATATTTCAACAGAATGCTAAATATTGATTAAATAAAAAATTCCTAGAAATCAGAGCACCGACCAGTTTCTTTGTACACATCAAATTCGTCATCTTAATCATCGTCATCGTCTTCATCTTCCTTTTGAATCTTCTTTTTTATTTCTGATTGCTTTTCTTGATCTTCTTGTTGAATTAATTGGAGATATTTATTAAAAAAATAAGCACTTGGATATATCTTATCAACTGGACTTATTTATTCATAAAGTTTTAGAAATTTTTATTATTTTATTTAAATATTACCTCTCCTTTTAATAATAAGAAATTTTTTTTTTAATATTTTGTGTTTATAAAATGATTATTTAATACTATTAATGATACTAATAAATTTGTCAAAATGATAAATAGTTTGGAGATTTTTACTTTCATTTGTGAGTTTTGATTTATTTTTATTTTATTTGTCTTAGTTTGTATTGACATATGCCTTGAAAAGTGTAATTAGTTGAATTATATTTTGGATAATTTACATTTAAGACCCTTGCACTTTTATCAAATCATCGCTTTAGGCTGTTCACTTTCAATCATAATAGTCAATCTTACTTTCACCAAAAACTCATTTTAGTTTTTTTACTTTTAATCGTAACAGTCAACCCTTTATACTTTAAATCAAATTACATCCATCTATTGTTAATAGAGCTAACGAAAATTAAAAGTAAAGGGACTAAAATGAGATTTTGGTGAGAGTGTAATTATTAAAATGAGATTTTAGTAAAAATGTAAGCCTTTTAATAATAAGAAAATTTTATTTTTTTTTTAATATTTTGTGTTTATAAAATGATTATTTAATACTATTAATGATACTAATAAATTTATCAAAATGATAAATAGTTTGGAGATTTTTACTTTCATTTGTGAGTTTTGATTTATTTTTATTTTATTTGTCTTAGTTTGTATTGACATATGCCTTGAAAAGTGTAATTAGTTGAATTATATTTTGGATAATTTACATCTAAGACCCTTGCACTTTTATCAAATCCTCGCTTTAGGCTGTTCACTTTCAATCGTAATAGTCAATTTTACTTTCAGCAAAAACTCATTTTAGTTTTTTTACTTTTAATCGTAACAGCCAACCCTTTATACTTTAAATCAAATTACATCCATCTATTTTTAATAGAGCTAACGAAAATTAAAAGTAAAGGAACTAAAATGAGATTTTGGTGAAAGTGTAATTATTAAAATGAGATTTTAGTAAAAATGTAAGGAGCTAATAAAAATGTCAAATATGTTTCAAATGACAAATTCCGTCAACTTTGTGTGATAACTTTTAAAAAATCTCTATGCTATATATTTTTGGCTAAAAGGATAAATTATAATTATAGTCCTTAAAGTTTAACACCTTTTTTAATTTAAGTTCTTAAAGTTTCAATTTTGTCAATTAAGTTCATAAAGTATTAAATTCGAATCAATATAGTCCATAAGATAATATTAAAATAGAACATTAGCTTAGATGTCAGATAAAATTATGACCCAGTTTTTAATTTATTATTAACTTAATTATCCTCTACACATGTGGTTTTATAATTGGCACATTTCTTCCAGGCTAATTAATTCTAATTACTTATATAGGTCTTCTATTTCTATTCTAATACTATCTATTTTATCTTATTTTTTGGCTATTTCTAATATTATTTTATATTTCATTTCATTTCATTATATTTGTCTTGTACCACCATTATTTATAATTCATCTAAATTATAAGGGTAAACTACCAATAGGTCTTAATAATTGGACTTAATTTTCATGAAGTTTTATTAAAAATAAGTTTTAGTAAAATCGTCATTAAAAATAAATTTTTGTGACGATTTTTTTGCATATATATGTCTCTAAAAATTGACAATTAATGACTTTTTTCGTCATGATTTTTATAAATTGTCACTAAAACTTATCATTACTGACTTTTTCTATAACAAATTTTTCAAATTGTTGTTAAAAGTTGAAAATTAATGATTTTTTTGTAACGATTTTTTTAAATTGCCACTAAAACTTATCATGAATGATATTTTTTGTGACAATTTTCAAACTATAGCTGAAAATTAATAATTAGTAACGTTTTTTTTAATAATATTTGATGAAAAATGTCATTAATTATAATAAGACCTATTAAACAAATAAGTTCACCTATTAGAACCTACACGTAAGTCGCTCAAATTATAATTACTTAGATCAATTTTTCATTTTTGTGGTGGTATTAATTCAAAACATTCCCTTGGAGAGTTCCTTGCAAGGGTAAGGATAAGGATAATTAAATATATTATTTTCTACAAGTGCTAACTAATTACTTTTATCTAATAATAGATGTCAAACTTAATGTATAATTTCTAATTGATTTTCTTTAACATTTTCGTTAAGTTATTTTAATAACCCAATGATCGTAGTATTTTGTTCGATAATTATTTGTAATGCAATACTATTACTTAAATTATTTTATTCGATTTCTTCAATGTATCTAATGCTCATTTATTAATATGACAAAACTAAGAAATTAAACTCTGATATCAATTCTAAAACACAAGTGTGGAGGATAATTAAGTTAATAATAAATTAAAATGTGGGCCTTCTAACAATTTTATATAATCTTTAGGCATATGTTTTATTTTTATGTTATCTTCCAGACTAAATTGATTTCAATTTAATACTTTAAGGACTTAATTGACAAAAATAAAATTTTAAGAACTGAAACGAAAAAAATGTTAAACTTAAGGACTATAATTAAAATTTATGCTTTTTTAATAATATGATTAAGGGCATATTTAGTTCCTAAAATATGCGTTGTTTTTCATTTTAATCCCTTAAGTTTCAATTTGTGATTTTGGTCCTCAAAATTATCAATTTGAGTCAATTTGGTCCTAAGTTTAACATCTGTTAACAAAATATATGAATAAAAGACAATTTTGATTAATAAAGTATGAATTTCTTATCATTTTAGTCCCTCAAGTTTTAAATTTTGTGGTCCATATCAATGTGGTCCGCTTGGTGGGATATTCTGTTAACGGATTCAGAAGAGCTTTGCTTTATGAGTCCTTACCGAACAATTCACTTGAAAAGTTTATAGCCTCTAATCAACAAAAGCATTCACTTGGTTGGGAAATATTGCAAGACATTGCTCTTGGCTTGGCTAAGGGAATTGAATATCTTCACCTAGGGTATGATCAACGAATCCTCCACTCTCATGAGTCACAACATCTTGTTAGACCACAAGTTCAATGCAAAGATCTCTGATTTTGGTTTAGCAAAGTTATGTTCAAATGAACAAAGTGCAGTATCAATGACTGCTGCTAGAAGGATTACGGGTTACATTGCACCTGAAGTGTTCTCTAGAAACTTTGGGAATGTGTCAGACAAATCAGATATTTATAGTTTTGAAATGTTGTTGCTAGAAATTGTTGGAGTGAGGTAAATTATTATAACGAAGTACACAAGCGAAAATTACTTTCCAAAATGGATTTACAAGAGTTTGGATAAAGGAGAAGAGCTAGGATTTCAAATTGATGATCGGAGGGAGATGCAAAGATTGTGAAGAAACTAACAATAGCAGGACTTTGGTGCGTACAGTGGTGTCCAATAGACCAGCCATCTATGAAAGTTGTGGTGCAAATGCTGGAGGGAGATGAAGGCACTCTGACAGTTCCTCCCAGCCCGTTTTCCTCTACAAATCCAATGCCAACGAGGCGAACAATGGGTGATACAACTTTTACTAGTGAGCTAGATGTAATTGTTGAATATGAGTGAGAGAATAAATTAGTGATATTTTATGGGAAATTTTAATGATTGTAATGTATAACAGAAATTAATCTCATTGTTCTCAGCAATTGCGTTTAGAATTAATTGTGTATTGATGTATTACTATAGTTTTCAATAATACATCTTGAGCATGGCCTTATTGTATTAATTATCATCTTACAATGGGGCACTTTGTATGAGAAAGATTTATTTTTTTTATGTATTATCAGCATGCATAACAACCAATGACCAATCTACAGGAATTCTTTTCTTCTAGGAAGCATGGTGAGTTTAAGTCTCCAATTTCAACCACCATCAACAATCAAAATCAAAGAGAAAGAGAAAAAGTAAAAACATCAAACAACAATAAATTGCATATTGAATGACTATATTGGAACACTTTTATATATTAGGAACTAAATTAATACAATTTAAACAATTAGGGACTAAAATAACACAAATTGCATATTTTTGGGACTAAAAGCGAAAACTTTACTTAAATTTCCATATTTACACCTTAATTTAACGTCATCTACAAAAAGAGTTGAGCTGGAGGAGCTCAAATCAAAACACGTTTTTATATAATGAGGACTAAATTGACGTAATAAAAATAATAATAACCAAAATAACACCAATAGCATATTTTAGGAAAATGATAATCTAATAAGTTTTCAGACTTTTACAGATACATCATGGAAACTAAAGGTTGCAGGTGAAGTGGTCCATCCTCCCTTAATTTCAAGGGCAAATTACACTGGTAGCCCATATATTTTTAACCTTGTGCCATTTTAGTCCCTATAATTTTAATTGGCTTGATTTTTACCATCAATTTATGATTTGTCTCAATTTGATCCAATTAATTACAATTGTTAGTACTTTTTGATAGAAAATGTGTACATAAGTGGCTGGTGTTATTTTTTATAAGAAAAATTGTGAACTTATTCAACTCAGTGAATTAATCTCAACCATTTTCCCTTAAAAATCCTAATCAATGTTATCAATTGGACTAAATTCACACAATCTACAATTAAGTGTTAAAATTGAGTTAATTGAAATTAGAATGACCAGAGTAACACAAGAAGAAAAATGCAGGGACTACCAATGTAATTTTTCCTAATTTCAATTGATTTTGTGGATGAGGCAAAATTTTACTCAATTTGTATGTTATGAATTGCAAGTGAAGTCTTGGTTTATCTATTCCTATCATATTTGTCATTATAATGTATTTTGTCTTCAGATTAAACAAAATAAAGAAAGAGGATCAATTAAAGATTTTAAAGTTTTTGGAGGATTATAAAGCTCTTAAGCCTGCAAGATACTCCTACACAGATATCAAGAAAATCACAAATCGATTTCAGAACAAAGTAGGCCAAGGAGGTTATGGATCAGTGTACAAGGGAAATCTTTCAAATGATGTTCATGTTGCAGTTAAGATTCTTAACAATGTGAAAGGAAATGAGAAGGAATTCATCAATGAAGTGCAAACAATAGGCAGAATCCACCATATCACTATTGTTCACTTGGTAGGACACTGTTCTGACGGATTCAGAAGAGCTCTCCTTTATGAGTTCTTATCAAACAATTCGCTTGAAAAGTTCATCTCCTCTCTGATAGAGAGAAGCGTTCACTTGGTTGGGAGAAGCTGCAAGATATAGCCCTTGGCATAGCTAAAGGAATTGAATATCTTCACCTCGGGTGTGATCAACAAATCCTTCATTTCGATATTAAGCCTCACAACATCTTGTTGGACCATAAGTTCAACTTAAGAAGTACGGACGCTTCTAAGAAGGTGACGTATGCATGTCGTGTCCATGTCGGACACCGACACTCTTTGGACACTTCTCCGATACGTGTCCGACACTCTTCAAACATGTCCTATTTTTTAATATTTTTTAAACACCCGGACACTCTTTGGACACTTGGAGGACATACGTGTGCATCTCTTAAACTCATGTGTCTATCGATTAGACACATGTGAAACTAATTATAAGTTTAAACAAAACAATTTAAGATATTCCCTCCGTCACAAAATATTAGTTCCTTATTCCATTTTTCATTGTTCCAAAATATTAGTTCATCTTTATAAATCAAGTACAAAAATAATGTAAATTTCCTATTTTGCCCTTCATTTAAATTAATAAACAATATAAAAAGTACAATTATGACATTGATATTCCCAAAAAATGTACTATCAAAAGGGTAATTTTGGAAAATCAACTTTTTTCAAATGCAATAAGTGTACTACCAAAAAAAGTTGGATTCCCCAAAAGGGACCAATATTTTGGGACGGAGGGAGTATAATAATAAAACAAAAACCATATAAATTTATAAGAATTAGTGCCATGATATATTCATATATATAATATATAATAAATATATAAAATTATATATTGCATGCGTGTCCTCCACATGTCGTGTCCTGTATTTTTTGAAAATTAGTGTGTCAACGTGTTAGTGTCGTATCCATGTCGTGTCGATGTTTCTTAGGCCCCGTTTGTAACGCCCTCAAAATAATAACATTAAACCCATCAAATAAGACATTCGTTGACATATGAAATAACCACATTCTTTTATTCATCAGAGTTTCATTACAAAAGTATTACATGTTAACAACAAAAGCAAATGCCCTATGGGCTTACAGCTTTCCAAGTTAACACTTGGTTACAACAAAAGAGTGCTAACTCATTTACACATTAAGCCCTTGGCTTGAATTTACATGTAATACATCAAAAAAAACAAAGTGAACCAGTAAGGCTGAGATTGAAAAGATGATACCTGTTCGAGCTTTAGTTTTTGCAATGACCTATTCATCGGCTTTTTCCTCAACTTTGATAAGTCCCATCAAAGGAGCCTTGGACACAAATTTTTGCCTTCAGGTTAAATGAGGGTAGTGTTCCGAAAATAGTTCTCCAGTACAAAGAATAATCAAAAGATAAAAAGAAAAAAAAAAGGTTTAACATTCAATAGATTCACAGAAAAAATAGAACAAAAAGGGGAAAAAATCACTTGCAAAATGTGGGAGAAGTGTGGAAGTATAGAAATCACAACTCACAAGGTGTGCCCAAGAGAGAGAGAAAGCGCAATGCGGAGTTCGACATTCGAGCGCAAGCGACGAACCTGTAACGTTGCAGGGGTAGAAAGACAAAGTAGCTCTAGAGAGAGAGAGTAATGAGACTCGGATGCTAGGGTTTTCAAATGATGATTTTCAGAGGAGGATTTCCAAGCGATGAAGTAGAGTGAGGGGAGCGTAACGATGTAATTGTTTCACTATTGATTAGTTTTAGTTTGCCTAATCATCATGCATTGTCTACAACAATCACGACTATCCTCCACCGATAGCCCAAAGCAATTATTTCTAAACAGAAAATAAATGCACAAATGGATATTCAATCAACATTTCATTCCGGTGAGTGATAAATAATTCAACTACACCCTTTAACCCTTTGCATTCCCAATCTCAATAATGTCATTTCATTTCCTCATTTCTTACAATTAATTATTTCAATTAATCAAACAATGTAATTAGGTCATTTTCCATATTAACATTTCAACCCTTAGGTCCCACTTTCATCAATGATTCAACATTTATTCCATTTCTCTATGCCAAACATGCATCTAGGTTTATTATAAATAAAACCCCAACTTTTGTAAAATAACACAAAAGCCCCAAACTTTCACCAAATTACCAAACCAACCCCAACATCTCAAAATACTAAAATTTAAAGACAAAATCCATAGAGAGGAGTAGGATATCCATACCTCGAAGTTTGAGCCAAAAAGGAGATGAAGACTCGAAGATCAACGTGCTCGAAATCCAAACTTTTTCAGATTAAATCGAAGCTCTCAACGCCCTCTATCTTTTTAACAAAGGCCCTAGGCTAGATTCACACTCTAGGAAGATCAAATCTTAGAGAGAGTGTAAGGTTAGAGAGAGAGAGTCTCGGATCTAGGGTTTGAAAGGAAAAGAAAGTGAAAAACTGATGTTCAAAAACGCTACTATCCGCTGATATAAAACACGCTCGCTCGAGCGAAGACTCTGTCGCTCGAGCGACCAGACACAGAAAACTTTCGCTCGAGCCAAGAAGTTCTCGCTCGAGCCAAAAACTCAGAAGTGCGCTCGAGCGAAAGAATGCTCGCTCGAGCCAACAACTCAAACCCTCAGGTCTGCTACCAGAAGCACGCTCGAGCGACAGACTTCTCGCTCGAGCGAAGAACAAACCAGACCGCTCGAGCGAAGAAAGCTCGCTCGAGCCAAGAAATGCAACTCTCAGGTCCAGAACCAGACGCAATCGCTCGCTCGAGCGAAGCCACTCTGGCTCGACCCACCAGACACGAACTCAACTCTCGCTCGAGCGACCAACTCCTCGCTCGAGCGAAGGTCCAAAAATCTGGGCAACAGCACTAGGCTCCCAAACACAACCAACCTGTAACAAACCTGCCCAACACATCCTATAACTCAATATACAAAGTAGTAACGGATGTAAACTAGATAATAAACAACTACCAACACCCACGGACACATGTCCGGATCATTGTACAACAAGGGTAAACCCGGGATCGCTATACCGTTTGTTTTCAAAGGTAAAACTGAGGAGATTCATAATGAGGGAATTGATAGTAAGATGATTAATTAAAATTATATTTTTTTTGATGATAGTTGTTGACATAGGGATTGTTAAATTATTTTTACATAAAATAATAAAACAAATACAAAAAATGCAAAAACATTAAATATTAATGTTAAAAAAAAATGCCCAACATGTAAAAAATAATAAATAAAACAAATAAAACAATGATTTTTACTTAACAAAAAATACAAAAAATTAAACATTAATGTTCAAAAAAAATGTCCAATATGTAAAAAATAAAATAAAATAAATAAATAAAAAATAGTCCGGCGGACTATTTTGTAGGAGATCAACCCAAGTTGAGTTGGCTACAGAGATTCTGGCCATGTGAAGGAAAGTAGCAGCCAGCTACATGGTGGGGAAGCCATGTGAGTTGGCCATGAGGCCATGAATCAATCTGGAAAGCCACCGAAATGGGCTGGCAGCCAGCTCATTTCAAAGGGTGCTTCTTGCCTTTGTAATCTCTATATAGAGAAGCTAAGGAGAGTTGAATAGACAGGGCAAACATAGCAAGCAAGAGAGAAACACACTGCTGAGAGAGAGGCACAAAACAGAGAGAGCTAGTGAGAGCTATATTCTGTTTGTGTATCAGAGAGTGTGAGAGAGTGTGTTATATAGAGAGACAGTGAGTTGAGAGTGTGTAATCTCCTCCATTTGTTGATATATAACAACATCGCTCCCGTGGACGTAGGCCGGTTTGCCGAACCACGTTAAAAGTCTTGTGTTTTTGCTTGTGAGTGTCCCCTGGTGTGCCCAAGATCCGCAACATATTTTTCTAATACCACCGCCACCTCCACCTCCTCCATCTCAATTCTCCTTCCAAGGCTTAATCTAATCCGGACCTCCATCTCAATCCCTTCTCTATCACCCAAAACAAACACAACATTAGTAAGTCCCACATCCATCTCAATCCCAATCCCCACTCCATCTTTTGCAACAAACGGGACCTTAGAGTTCAACCCAAAGGTCTCTAACTTTGGTCAATCAAAATAGTGTTCAAAGGAACAGAGTGCTATATCCATGACTATTGCAAAAGCGGTCGTATGGTACATTGCTCCTGAAATGTTTTCTAGAAACTTTGGGAATATGTCATACAAATCAGATGTTTATAGTTTTGGAATGTTTCTAGAAATGGTTGGAGGGAGAAAGAAAAAAAAAACACAAAAAAGAGCGAAAATTACTTTCATGAATGGATTTACAAGCGTTTGGATCAAGGAGAAGAATTAAGAGTTCAAATTGAGAAACAGATGCAAAGATTGTGAAGAAACTAACAATAGTGGGACTTTGGTGTATACAATGGTTACCCAATAGATTGACCACCAGTGAAAGTTGTGGGGCAAATGCTAGAGGGAGATGGAAGCACTCTAACAATTCCCTCTAGTCCATTTGCCAACACAAATCTAGTGTCAACGAGGGGAACATTGGGTAGTACAACTTTTAATAGCAAGTTAGAAGTAATTTATAAATCTGAGTGAGTATAAATTAGTCATATTTTATGGAAATTTTAATGATTGTATTGTATAATAGAAATTAAATGTCTTGTTCTCAGCAATGAGTGTAGAATTAATTGTGTATTTATGTATTACTATAAGCTTTTAATAATACACCTTGTGCATGGCCTCTGTATTAATAGTCATCTTTTAACGTATCAGAAAGAATTTGTTTTCCTGTCAAAGAAGTATCTTCTCACTCAAAACTTTGTCTTAATAATGCAAACCTACATAACATCAATGGCAACCTTACAGTAAATCTTTTCTCCTGTTTTGCTAAATCTACAATAAATTTGGAGGACTTCGAATTTACAAGTTCTTCATTGCATGGTTAAAACGGAGATCTCCATTTTAATACATAAAGTTATAACCCATTATTAAAATTCAAAATAAACAATCTATAATTGTTATGACATAGCATGCATTCCTTGGAATGTCTGAAAATTTTAGCATTTGGACTTGAGTCAAATCTCAATGCCCATTTTCTACCACATGGATTATTGCCAGAGAGACCAATCATCATCTAGTGAGAAGTTCTACTACATGGTTGTTAGGGTTACCCTTAACAACCACACCCTACTTGTCAAGGGTGAAGTCAAGATTTCATCCTAAAGGGGGCCAACGAAAATTCAATAGAAAAGTTTCATACAAAATACATGATTTGTAAATGAAAACAAACATTCATAAATACAATAGGAAAAGAAATTGTCGAAAAGTTTATTTTATGGGCTCAAATTAAGTGTACATTGATAGTAAAATGTCTTTTAAGTGAAACCTCAAGAGATTGGCCTAGTGGCAAAACTTTGGGTCTTGGGGGTGTGCTCCCTCCAAGGTTTAGAGATTGAAACATCTTACGTGCTAATAATTCCTTAGGTTCATCGGATTGGAGGAAAACCCTTGAATTAATCGTGGTGTGCGGGAAACACCTTGCTGAGGGCTGTACATCTCTAGGGACTAGTCGAGCTTTGATCCGGACACCCCAGTGTCAATCCCAAAAAAAAAAATGCCTTTTAAGTGAAGAATGAACAATCCCCAAAGCCATAATAAATATTTAAAATAAAAACTCTAAAATTTTATCAGAAGAAATTGTGACATGGAAATAAAATGTATAATCGTATCGAATAGAAAAAAGGAAGAAATCTCCACTATAATAATATATATTTAATGAAATATCCGAACACAAACCATAAGACCATCTCCAACGCTTCAGCAAACGTGATATCAAATTCAAAACTTTGTCCTATTTACTATGAAGCACATGTACGGATACGAGTACTGGTACTAGTACGATACGGGTACGTTGATACGATAAATTTTTTTAAAAAATAGGGTACGGGTACGGGTACGGCTTGGTACGCTTGTAAAAAAATATTTATTTTTAATTTAGAGTATGCAAAAAATAATTAAATGGTTTAATTTGTTAAGGTCCAACCTATAATTAACATTTAATGCCAAAAGGAAAAGTATAAATCAAAATTAAATGTCAATATATTAAACAACTTACAAACCATAGTTTAATTTTAAAATCATGCTAAGCATAAAACAAAAACTAAAAAGAAATCTAGTGAAATGAGTCGTATTTCTGTAGTAGAAGGAAAATATTGTTTCAACGGAAGTACGGTACGGCTTAGATATATACTAGGTACGTCTGGGTACGTCAAAAATTAAGAAGAAAAAACTTAGGTACATGTTTCGTGTACCCGGTACGTATGTAGAAGTACCATACGAGGTACGGTACGCTAGTAAATATCCGGTACAGGTACGACATGTTTTTTGAAGTAACCATGCTTCATAGCCTATTTATAGAAATGAAGCATTGATTTAAAAGTTTTGTAAAATAACAAGACAATTTTACCTTTTAAAATACAAAGACAAATATATCAAATTCTATATATCACAGCCTACACACACAAAAAACTTTCCTTAAAATTTATATAGGGCAATACATGAATTGTAAATTTGATTGATTAACGGTTATAATGCAGTGGAGGTTCTCAAGTGAGTTGTAAAGTCTTCACATTATGTAAGGAGAAATATCATTGGTTATAACCTAGGGGAGTAGGTCCTTTGCTCTATGCTATATATAGGATTTTCAAATATCAAGGGTGGCTATGGCACCGAGGCCGCCCTCTCCCTCCAAGTAAATATTGAATATAACAGTATATTACGTGATTGTATCACTATTTAATAAATAATTTTATTTTATGGCACAAATCACAATATTATTGAGTTAATAAAAGACGAGACTTGTTCATCTAATTTCATTTGCAGCCTTTTTTATTGACCGATGACATCATGTAAAATAATGTCACCGTTACCCTCAATATTTTCTCCTCCCCTCACCCCGAAGAGGTTATTTGCTTGTGATGGAGCAATGCTCCACATCCTTTAAATTATCACTTGACACTCGTCAAGTTCTCTCTAAAATCAAACAATTAACATCAAGATGAGGCACTGCATAGTGATATAACAGAATTAAGAACATGTATCATCAACAACTCGGACAATTTTACTAGTAATAACTATGAACAATCAATACCGCAAAAAAAGTAACAACAATATAATTGATTGATTCAATCAATCATTTTTATTCATTAATTTGATCATTATACTCAACCAAATCATAAACCTAACATCACATTTCAAGTTCCTAAATCCATCAAGATTTCAACATAAATAATAACAAGCAAACAAACAATCAATCAAAAAGTAATCAGAAATCAGAGCACCGACCGTTCCGCTCCCAATCGCCGTAACGAGTATAACAGAATTAAGAACATGTATCATCAACAACTCGGACAATTTTACTAGTAATAACTATGAACAATCAATACCGCAAAAAAAGTAACAACAATATAATTGATTGATTCAATCAATCATTTTCATTCATTAATTTGATCATTATACTCAATCCAAATTATAAACCAAACATCACATTTCAAGTTCCTAAATCCATCAAGATTTCAACATAAATAATAACAAGCAAACAAACAATCAATCAAAAAGTAACTAGAAATCAGAGCACCGACCGTTTCTCTCCCAATCGCCGTAACGAGTGGGCTCGGGACCTCTAGGTCCTCCAATCTCACCGGTCTCTTTGTTCATATCAAAGTCGTCATCTTCATCTTCGTCTTCGTTGTCCTTTTCGTTTTGAATCTTCTCTTTGATTTCTGATTCCTCTTCTTCAAGCTTTTTAGGGTTAACTTGATCTTCTTGTTGAAGCTGAATCGAAGGGCAGATGAGTCGCCTCGCCGAGTTCGGACCGGAGAGAGTTACCGATTCAGATCTCGCGTAGGAAAGAACCAATTTTGGAGCAGATCGCTTGATTAGTGATGAGAATAGACGGCCCTGATTGCTCGCCATTTCTTCTTTCTCTTCCTGTTCTTCTTCAGCTCACTTTTTATCTTCTTTGTTGCTTTATACGTGAAGTGGACAGACTGATTGTATGCATCGCACCGTTCGGTGTTCTCCTGCGAGATGGAACGTTAACCCTTGGATGAATAATTGATGTTTGATCTTTTAGATTTTGGATTTTTTGGTGCCCGCCAAATAATTTAGATTATTTTTTAAAATTACATTTTGACCATTTATGTTCGATTATTTTTTCACCTTGGCTTTTAAAATTGTATTTGATTCATAAATTTTGGAAAGAATTTAGAAAAAAAAAATTAGGTAAAATGTTAATAAAATATTCAGTGAGTTTGGTTTCAATTTTTTAGATTTAATTTTTTTTTAAATTGCATATTTTGTTTTTTCGTATTTTTTGTTTTTAATTAATATTTTTAGATTTAAAATTTTAAGTAATTATTTTATTTTTTTAGATATATCTTACTTAGATATATCTAAAAAGTAAAATATTTATCAAAATCAATAAATACATAAGAATATAAAATATATATATTAAATTTTCGTATTTTTTTGTATTTTTTATATTTAGTAAATTTTTTAAAAAAAATTCACAAATATTATACTTTTTTAAGTGTATTTATGTTAGGTGTATCTAAAAATTAAAAAAATTGCTTAGAATAATAACAAAATTCAGTAAAAATAAAAAAATACAAAAAATAAAAAATTTCAATTTTGCTGAAAAGTGAATCTTTAAAATCCAAACCAAACAAACTGTTTATATTTCACCCTTTTTTTTCTTTTTCTTTCTAAATTCCTCCCTAAATTTATAAACCAAACACTTTGTAAAGGTTTTTTTCCTCTTACTTTGGCCCTTTTATGTTTTAAATTATTTTGAACTTCCTCTTAAAATTAATTTTTGTTTAAAATTAAACAAAAAAAATCACGTTAGTTGCTACATGATATAAAAATATATTTATATATATATATATATTGCTTGAATATATTGTTATATTAAGATTTGAGTTTGTATAAAAAAAAAATGTGAGTTATATATAATAAAATATTTGTATACATTATTATCTCTCAATATGTAATGTTCCATATAATTTTAAACATAAATTAACTTTTACAGAAATTTATAAAAAATTAAAAAAATTAAAAAAACTTAAAAAGTCAAAGTGATAAGAAAAAAAAAAGGACAATTAAAAAGAAATTCCAAGTTTGAGCACTCTTAAAAAATAAATCCTAAATGTTTAATTTTATCAATTTAAATTCTAATTTTTTGATTTGTTTTCAATCTAAACCATTCATCTATTTTTGTTAAGTAAAATTGACGAAAAAAATATTTTAATTATTAAATTGATTGTTACCATTAGCACCCATTTATTACTTTTGACTCTCCATTTTTTTGAATTTCCACTTATAAATTTTAAAATCCTTAAAAATCCTCGCCTCTCCAAAATAATACTAAAATTATCCTTCTAAAAATTTCACACCCACTAAAATGCACACTCTTCAACAGATCTTAAAAACCATTAATCTCTTGAAAACCTAAAGTTCAAATCTTAAGTTCACCATAAAAATCTTCCCTTTGACCACGTTTTTCACTCTCACGGCAATATTCGTCTCATTCTTTCTTACGACAGTATCTCATTAGCCCTCTACAGTTTTTTCTTTTTTTTTAGAGTTCTTGATCGGAAACCCTTTAGAGGCTTTGCTAGGTGGCATTTGGGTTTCAAACTTCCATAAAAGTTGAAAAGAATGTTCGTCATCACCCTAAAATAACAATACAAATTAAATTTAGGAATTTGATCGATAATACATGTTGGAACAAAATTCATATATCCAAAACTAAGATGTTGAACATATGAATAGTGTTCAATTATCCATTGTCGAACTAATGTCTTTAATTCGGTCTTGTGTTGTCATTTTTTTATTATATGTTTGGGAGTTCAGTATTAAAAAAATGTCAAACTATTTTCATCATTTTTTGTTCATGTTTTTGAATGAACCTACCATTACAAGGCCAACATTCTTTCAGTTACGAACACTATCAAAGTTATGAACTTCTTCTGAATTTATATTGTTGTACTTCATTCGTTTCATAATATTGTAATTGTCGGAAAAACTTCTACTTATTGCTATTGCCGGAAAAGTGTGTATAATCGAATGGTTGCCACTGTTGCTATCGAAATATTGTCGCCAGAAGGTTTTCAAGGTTTTGAATATGGGTAAATTTTGATGGTTATGAAGTGTATGGTTGGTGATAGAGGTGAGTACTCATATAAACTCTATCTTATAATTAAGTGGGTGTATGAGTTTAATTGTGAGATGGGTTATTTCAAAATAATTGATGTAATCTTTAATAATTTCATATGAGGTTAATAAAAATAAATAAATAAATGGGAGTCTAAAATAATAAGTGAAGTGCTAATAGAAACACTTTATTAAACTCAATGTAGATATGCATAAAATGCCTAAAATACTATTTTTTTTTCTTGAGTTTAAATTGATAAAATTAAAAATTCATGATTTATTTTGTTATAAGAGTCAAATACTAAATTTATTTTTATTTTTATAATTTCTCCTAAAAAAATTAAGAGCTAAAAGTGAAAAAAAAAATCAAAAAATATTAAACAGTCAGAATTTTTTTTCTACAGAATTAATTAAAAAATAAAATTCCTAACTACTTTCCTATACAATAATGAAATTACTTGAATTATTAATTGAAATATATTTCTAACTTCATTATATACTCTTAATTTACTTAATGATTTATTAATAAAATGAGTCATTTATTATGAAATTAGAAACTTTAAGAGAGAGATGTAATTTTTAGAAAAAAAATCCTATGGTACACATTTTATAACTAAAGAAGAAAATTATAAAATTTCATACTTTCTGAGTCATAACTAAACATAACATAAGACATAACTAAAAAAACTCATGAGTTATAACTAAAATAATATCAGAATTAAAAAATAAAAGAGTCGGGCTAGGGAGCTCGAATTTGAGCCCCCCGAATCCCCCTAATTCAAAAACGACGTCGTTTTTGAATTTTTTTTTTTTTTTTTTTTCAAATTCGAGCTCCCTAGCCCGACTCTTTTATTTTTTAATTCTGATATTATTTTAGTTATAACTCATGAGTTTTTTTAGTTATGTCTTATGTTATGTTTAGTTATGACTCAGAAAGTATGAAATTTTATAATTTTCTTCTTTAGTTATAAAATGTGTACCATAGGATTTTTTTTCTAAAAATTACATCTCTCTCTTAAAGTTTCTAATTTCATAATAAATGACTCATTTTATTAATAAATCATTAAGTAAATTAAGAGTATATAATGAAGTTAGAAATATATTTCAATTAATAATTCAAGTAATTTCATTATTGTATAGGAAAGTAGTTAGGAATTTTATTTTTTAATTAATTCTGTAGAAAAAAAATTCTGACTGTTTAATATTTTTTGATTTTTTTTTTCACTTTTAGCTCTTAATTTTTTTAGGAGAAATTATAAAAATAAAAATAAATTTAAGATTTGACTCTTATAACAAAATAAATCATGAATTATTAATTTTATCAATTTAAACTCAAGAAAAAAAAATAGTATTTTAGGCATTTTATACATATCTACATTGAGTTTAATAAGATGTTTCTGTATTCATACACATTGCTAACTGAGATATTAGTATAGATTTTTTTTATTTTTGAAGTTTTAAAAAGAAGGTGAAATGAGGATGTGAAATGGAGTAATGGCAACATAAGAGAGTTCAAATCTAAATGAATGCATCAGTCATGGGGACTCAGTAAATTTCACTTTAATTTGGGACAAGACGAGAAGGTTGGACAACAGGGTTTGCTTATGTGTTAGTAAATATATATCATTATACTAGCTAGAAGCACTATTGTTCTGATCAAGGGCGGAACTACTTGGCACGGGATTCTCTGTCCCTAAATCCTTTTTGGTCCCAATAAACTTCCAAGCTCCTTGCCATAGGATCGTCTCAAGATTTTCGTGTCGAGAGATTCTCACACACATATACCATGCCTGACAATGCATTGGGACAAAGGGACAGGGGGATTTGGGAATAGAGTATCCCTGGACGAACTACTTCAAATTATTGTACATGTACTAGTTAGGAGCACTTCTTTATTAATGAATTAGTTCATTGTTTTAAATCATGGGACTCAAGCACTAAAAGGTGCTGATTCAACAACCTCCATATGTAGTCATTATATGTTTTGGGAAAAATATTGCTAAATTTAATCGTGTGATCATCACACTTACATAGGACCATGGGTGTCAAAAATGTACATATCAAGGTTTTGGCTCTGGTGAATATGTCACAGTTAGGAAGCAGTTTGGCCAGTACGCGACTGGTAAGAAGAATGGGATTGAAGGTACCCCATGTTTTGTGGGATATTAGGGCTTGAGAAATTTTGAAGAAGGAAAAATGTTGTCAAATTTTGACAACTGACTTAGAAATGGAAGAAGGAATGCGAGGTCTAATTCCCTTCCTACAATCTTGTCAATTTGCAGTGGAAACAAAATTTCTGTGTTGTTCACTGCAACTTCTTAAACCAGGTCTCAAAGTATATCTTTCCACTGTTGTTCTGTTCTTTACTTTTTTGAGATGTATCAATGTTGCTAAACAGCAATTGGACACCACACTAGACTTCAAGTGCTCCTTTTAGAGGAAGCTACAATGCAAAAATCTCAAATTTATACTTTGGTGGTTTGATTCAAAGTTCAAACATTGGATATTGGTACTTTGGAGTACTGTTAAAGTAATTTTGCATTCATCTGCAAAAACGGTGTTTTCAAACATTAAAGATCTTACTGAAGTAGGTATTTTTTTCGTATGAATTTTAGGTACATAATCAACTCTTTATAGAATAGTTATAAGGTCAACGATGCTTTACGGGATAGAATGCTAGGCAACTAAAACACAAAACATAGATGAGAATACTTAGATAGATGTATGGTAAGATTAGGAAAGATAGAATTGAAAATGAAAATATTCGTGAAAAGATAAAAGTAGCACCAATTGAAAATAAGTTGAGAGAGAACAGTTAGGATGTTTTGATTATATACCATGAATAAATGCAACAGTAAGGAAGAGTAATATGAATATCACAAATGAAAATTTAAGGGGGGGAGAAGACCTAAACTGATGTGGGATGTGTTAGTAAAAAAAAATATGAATTTATTTAATTTAATTAAGCATATAGCCCTTGACCAAGTAGAGTGGCGAAAAATGATTCATGTAGTAGCTGACTCCACTTGATTGAGACACAAGGCTTACTTTGGTTTGGTTAATCAACCCTTTTGTTATTATCAATTTCCAGGTTCTGCACCAAGGTCAGATGTTCCAGCAGCGCCCACCAACACTGCTGTTGGAGGGAAAGCTTCTCTTCAGCCAAAGCGCACACCTGTCACAGACAGGGAAATAGAAGCTGTTCTGGTAAGGGTACTGTCCTTTCCATAGAGTCGAATTTGAATATTTCTTTTACCTGAGGTTGTATCAGAACTAAATCCAACCGTAAAACTTCAATTCTATACATTTAAAGTAATTGTAAAGTGCTCTATTGGAAAGTAAGTGTTTGATGATTAGCACAATGATGATACAAGGATCATGAGTGTCCACCTGTTTGATCTTTATGCTTGACAAGTTTGTCTTGCTGATTTTACATATATATCTTACCTAAAAGATCTGATCATAGATATTCAGACATTGAAGTAGATCATGCCTATGAAGTATGGATATGGATACGGATACGGATACGGATACAAATTTGGATATGGGATATGAGTATTACATGATACAGTTGATATGGAAAATCTAAAATATGTTAAGGATATGACAACATATGTATATATATCTAATTAATTTTGTCATCACATATATGTAACAAACTTTTGTCTCTAATCATGTATTATATGTTTTCAATTTCAAATTTATAATGCATTCACATAAAAAAAATAAGTTGTATAAAAAAAAGAAAAGAGAAAATGAAGGTTATGTTATGGAGACACAAAACTTGGACCAAATTTGAGCCATAAGGATTGAGTTTTACTGAAATTTTCTAATTAGATCTTGATCCTTATGCATTTTTTTATTTATTCTTTTTTCCACTATGTCTTCTGCAGTTGGGTGGCTGCTTGTGACTTTCAGTGGACTGACCTCCGTGGAAGGAAATGTTTTGACATTTGTTCTACCATTTTCCATCATATGATATATGAAACTACTACTACTACTACAGTGAACTGTTGTATTTTAACAGTGCCTGGCAATTCATAAATCAGCTAAATATGTAATCATATGCTGAACTAGAACTTAAGCCTGAAGGTTGAATACCGTCAACTCATTACTTTCATTTCCATTTCCTTTTTATCCTTTTCTTTAGCAGCAGCCACGTGAGCCATATATGGCAAGGCCACCACCTTACAGAGCTCTATAGCATCAAGTGGCTGCCCATATGCTTCTATGTTACTATATGTGATTTGAGCTCCAATCTCTCTCCCCATTTTGTGTAAGAACACAGTACTTGAGAAAATGTTTGGGCTTTGTCATAGTATCAAAATTCTTGTGAAAATTTTTAAATCTTTGGATGCTTGACAGATCTGAGTGAGATGCAACTCAATGGAGATGATTTCTTCTTGGTGTTGCGTTGGATTTTGGTTTGCATTAGAAAGGGCACGAGGCAGGAATTTTATTCCCAGTTTCCAAAATCTGATTGACACAATTTGTTTCTGTGAAAAACTATTTTTAGAAGAAAAAAATTCATAGAAAACTTTTTCATATTTTGTTTGTGATATTGAAACTAATTGTTAGTGGTTTTGGTGGTGGCGGCAGTTGTTGTCAGGCACATGTAGTGGTAATGTGATGGCTATTGGTAAAATTTTAGTGCAAAAAATATTTCTTACTTTTCGAAGTGAATAATATTTTCTACCCAAATAAGTATTCATTTGAAAGTGAAAATTATTTTTTTGTATGTACATAACTAGGGTCGGAGAAATACAAAATACAAATACACGAGAAAATATAATCGCATGCACACACAGAATACAATTCACTTCAAACTAGGAATATCTGAAAGGTTACGGGAGTTAACTTTCTCCCCTCAACTATAAATACATAGAAATTAAGACAATATGTCACGAGCGCAAAAAATATAGTAAATATCCTTACTCTATCCACTCGAGTATTTAGTGTCTAATATTTATTAGAATTCACATTACAACAAAAATGTTTTTCATTCTTTCATGTTTTGTCATCAAATACCAAGAAACATTTTCAGCTGAAACAAAAGGAGCATAACTCAGACGATGTGTTACCAGTTTCAAAATGCGATTAACAAAACAGCTTTCTTGCATAGTTCTCCATAATATTAATTTCCATTTCCATTGACAGATCAAAGAAAAAACTGTACATTATTCTTTTCAACCATCACAAGAGCCACCTCCCTCACAAAAATATAAACACAAGACAACACACAAAAGAACCTACCACCCAACCCTGCAAATCCCACTCTGTTGCACTCTTTTGAGTTCTTTTGTATCTATGAGCCTAATATGAGGATGTGAAAACAAAGCTATCTGTCTATTTCTTGATAAACAGATCCATCCATATATATATATATATATATCTATGTCATTACTGTCTGTTTGCTGCTATCTTGTTGCCTCTTGCCCCTTTCGACCAGACTGGTTGTGTTGTCTTGTCCATCTCTCATGAGGTACTTGTCAACCTGCGAAGCAGCTTGCCGGCCTTCTGAGATGGCCCAAACTACCAGAGATTGGCCTCGCCGGCAATCCCCGGCTGCAAAGACTCCATTCACGTTGGTTGAGAAGCGGCCATAATCTGCCTTGAAGTTTGAACGATTGTCTTGCTCCAAGCCCAGTTTTTCCGATAGTGTCTGAAGGAATTAAGCATCACAAAAATCAGTATGAAATCAATTATACATGCTTTCTAATTGACTAGGGTTGATGACAAAATTCAGGTGAACATTATTGAAAAAAGAGAGAAAATTACCAATTGGTCTTCATATTTCTTTACTCAACCCTAGTCTATTAGAAAGCAGAATGCACAACTTCAATTTTGCGAAGGACCCAAGGCATAGAATATCAATGCCTGGAGCTAAACTTAATTACGCTATTCTAACCAATAATTTTGATGATTCTAGTTGCAAGAGAAATTAGTCAAGATCACTTCCAACAATTACTCTAGATCAGAAATTGAACTTGGTTACTGGTTCAGCATAGAGAAATTATAATTGAGTAGCAGTTAAGAATACTAACTGATTCAGGACCGAGGAACCCCATAGCGAGTAGGACTAGGTCTGCCTCGATCATCTCCTCCGAGCCTTCAATTTCTTTAAACTGAAACTTCCCACCAGCATCCTTCTCCCAACGGACACATATCACCTCAAGTGCTTTCACATTCCCATTCTCATCTCCCACAAACCGTTTAGTTAATACCTCATAAGACCTGGGATCTTTCCCAAACTTGGTAGCAGCTTCCTGGTGCCCATAATCCACACGGAATATGCGAGGCCACTGCAAACAAAGAAATTTGAAGGGAATAAATCATTAAAACGATTAGAAAAAGCAGGCATCAAATGTTACAAGATTTTTGCGATTTTCAAACTCTTCCATTTAGACCATGTAACCCTGATTTTCAACAGATATTCCAAAACATCCACCACCAACTATTATAATCTTCCATTTAAAATCTGTTGCTTTTACACCATTCAAAATTTATTTGAATATTTACCATTTTTCTATATTATTTTGTTAATTAATTACCTATTTCAATAATTTTTCACTTTGTTTCAAGCAAGTCTTGCAAAATCTGATAGGGATGATGCACATGTAGTAAGACCAACCAGAGAACATTACATGACTAGGGCTGTAAAATGAACCATGCTACTCGAGCTCAACTCATGTTAAGCTCGTTAAAAGCTCATTTGAGATCGGCATAGTCAAACTTAAACAAATTTGAAAGCTCGGCATAGTCAACCTACTACTCGGCTCAACTCAATTATATGCACTATAACAAATCAAACTACTCAATTCAAGCTCATTTGAGATCAACTCAAAAGTTAAATAAGTCAATCCTAAACACATTTTGAAGCTCATTAAGTTTTCAAGTCAAATTTAAACAGCCTATTGCTCAACTCAACTCATTTACAACCCTATATATGACCAACATATTGAGGAATGGTCTTGTGTACTCTGCATTTTTTTATTTTTTATTTTTGTTTCAGTTGCCATATAATAAAATCTACAAACCTGTGGCCAAGGGTTTCCCGGGGCTCTGGTTCGAGGAGGCTGAGGGAGAAGCTCCAGATTTACAATGTTAGTACAGCCATGTCGGATAGATGTTCCTATGCAATCTGTACCAGTATCGCCTCCACCAATTACCACTACCTTCTTGCCCTTGGCAGAGATGTATTTGCCATCCTCAAGATTGCTATCAAGCAAACTTTTGGTATTTGCATGAAGAAACTCCATGGCAAAATGAACCCCTGATAGCTCGCGTCCGGGTACAGGAAGATCCCTGTAACCAATATTTTGTTCACTAATTGTTAGTGTGTTCTAAAGAAAACTATACTGGCAATTTGTTTTTGAAAAAAAAAAAAATTACCTTGGTTTTGTGGCTCCTACAGCTAAAACAATTGCATCATTCTCCTCTCGAAGCCGATCAAGGGAGTACATGGGATCTTTTCCCACATTAGCATTGACCACAAAATTGACACCCTCCTTTGCCATAAGGTCAACCCGTCGTTGAACTATATCAACCTTATCGGTCTTCATGTTAGGAACTCCATACATCATAAGGCCCCCAATTCGATCAGCACGCTCAAAAACTGTCACAAAATGACCCATTCTATTCAACTGATCAGCAGCAGCCAAGCCGGCAGGTCCACTCCCAACAATAGCAACTCTTTTCCTGTATGACCAAGGTTATTTAGAATCCAGTGTCCCAATAATTTATACCAAAATAACATTCGGCTCAAAAGATATAGATTTAATTATGAAATCCATAACATGACAATCACTAGGGCTCCAATCAGTTATCAAGAATTTTGTGTCATGAGAAAGCTATTCCCAGGAATGTATTGTATAGTAAAGGAAAGGAAACTTGTTTTCCACGCGTGTTCATTTGTCAGGAAAAGGAAAGTGAATTATTGAGATTCTTGCAAAATCCTGTATTTCTTTGCAGAGCATGTTTTGAAGGAAAACTTGTCCTACTGAGAAAGTTGAAGATATGAGTCCCACAAAAGCCTTGCTAATTGAACATAAAAATGTTATGGGAAAGTTGATCTTCTTGTACTTTACTTTCTTTCCCTGACCACTGAATGATTCCCTAAAGAACTCTGAGAGAATGGAGACTCTATTCAATTATGCAAGAGCAAAAATCATACCCAGTTCTTCTGAGGGGAGGTCGTGGCACCATCCAGCCTTCCTCGAAAGCCTTATCTATAATAGAGCATTCAATGTTCTTGATAGATACAGGATTCTCAATAATACCAAGAACACAAGAACCCTCACAAGGTGCAGGACACACCCGACCAGTAAACTCTGGGAAGTTATTAGTCTCCAGAAGCCGATCTAATGCTTCACGCCATCTATTTTGGTACACCAACTCGTTGAATTCAGGAATTTTATTCCCAAGAGGACATCCTGAATTCTCCTACAATTTATTAAAAATAGAAATCAGATATAAGACTGAAAAAATTGGGCAAAAGTTTGCTGTGAGAGACTTTTGAATTAAAAAGAACAAAAAATATTGCAGTTCTTGGTCACCTGATGGCAGAAAGGAGTACCACAGTCCATACACCGAGCAGATTGTGTCTTTAGAAGTGGACTAGGCTTGGCTTCTTCCATGACCTCCTTCCAATCGTTCATCCGAACATTAGGATCCCTATATGAGACGCCCTCACGCTCATAAATAATGAATCCTCTATTTTTAACAGCATCGGGAACTCGAGTTGGCCTCGTTGGCAATTCTGTCTCTGAAACTTTCTGCAAATTCTGAACGCTGATCAGACCCTTTTACTGGCTATAAGTCATTACCAAGATACATAGCACATGCTAGAGGGGAAAATGCAGGGGAGGATGAGAGAGAGAGAATATAATAGAAGTATAGAAAAGCATCCATGAAAATGAGGCAAATTGTTCTTATATGTACCACATGTCCCATTGTAGTCTTTAATATAAAAAAAAATAAAAAATTATACATTAAAATTTTCTTTAAAATATTATCCCTATTTCTATGAAAGAGACCTCACATCTTATCAAGCATTAAAATCATGTAACAGTTCAAGTATGAAAGAAAGATTTGATCAATAAATGAATATAACTTACCGGAACATCTTTCCCATTTGAGGACATAGCTGCCAACTTCTTAAGCTCTTCAAAAGCATCTTTTTTGATTAAATCTGCCTCTTCTTGCTCATCAGCTTCATTAGCAGCCCTCGATGCAGCCTCTTTGGCAATTTTCTCTTCTTTCATGCTTGCAAGAATCCGTTTATAATCTCTAGGAAAGACCTTAACAAATTTAGGTAAAATATTATCGAAATCAGCAAGCACTTCTCTAGCTAGTTGGCTGTTTGTGTGACGCTGATGTTGTTGTATCATCACTCTGAGAGTCATAATATCCTCTTCTTCTTCAACTTTATCGAGATCCACCAACTCAGGATTGCATCGGGATTGGAACGTGGCATCGACATCAAGAACATAAGCAATGCCACCACTCATCCCTGCAGCAAAATTCCTCCCGGTTTTTCCAAGCACAACAACGGTCCCACCAGTCATGTACTCGCATCCATGATCACCAACACCTTCTACAACTGCTTTAACCCCAGAATTACGGACACAAAATCTTTCTGCTGCCATTCCATTAAAATATGCCTCCCCAACAGTTGCTCCATAGAGAGCCACGTTACCGATCACAATGTTTTCCTTTGGATCAAAATTGCTTCCTTTTGGAGGATAAACAACAATCTTTCCACAGTACTTGAGAAAATGTTTGGGCTTTGTCATAGTATCAAAATTCTTGTGAAAATTTTTAAATCTTTGGATGCTTGACAGATCTGAGTGAGATGCAACTCAATGGAGATGATTTCTTCTTGGTGTTGCGTTGGATTTTGGTTTGCATTAGAAAGGGCACGAGGCAGGAATTTAATGCCCAATTTCCAAAATCTGATTGACACAATTTGTTTCTGTGAAAAACTATTTTTAGAAGAAAAAAATTCATAGAAAACTTTTTCATATTTTGTTTGTGATATTGAAACTAATTGTTAGTGGCTTTGGTGGTGGCGGCAGTTGTTGTCAGGCACATGTAGTGGTAATGTGATGGCTATTGGTAAAATTTTAGTGCAAAAAATATTTCTTACTTTTCGAAGTGAATAATATTTTCTACCCAAATAAGTATTCATTTGAAAGTGAAAATTATTTTTTTGTATGTACATAACTAGGGTCGGAGAAATACAAAATACAAATACACGAGAAAATATAATCGCATGCACACACAGAATACAATTCACTTCAAACTAGGAATATCTGAAAGGTTACGGGAGTTAACTTTCTCCCCTCAACTATAAATACATAGAAATTAAGACAATATGTCACGAGCGCAAAAAATATAGTAAATATCCTTACTCTATCCACTCGAGTATTTAGTGTCTAATATTTATTAGAATTCACATTACAACAAAAATGTTTTTCATTCTTTCATGTTTTGTCATATCAAATACCAAGAAACATTTTCAGCTGAAACAAAAGGAGCATAACTCAGACGATGTGTTACCAGTTTCAAAATGCGATTAACAAAACAGCTTTCTTGCATAGTTCTCCATAATATTAATTTCCATTTCCATTGACAGATCAAAGAAAAAACTGTACATTATTCTTTTCAACCATCACAAGAGCCACCTCTCTTACAAAACTATAAACACAAGACAACACACAAAACACCATCTAAGAGAATCCCTAGGAACCTACCACCCAACCTTGCAAATCCCACTCTATTGCACTCTTTTGAGTTCTTCTGAATCTCCGAACCTAATATGAGGAAGTGAAAACAAAGCTATCTGTCTATTTCTTGATAAATGGAGCTATCTATCTATATATATATATATATATATATGTCATTACTGTCTATTTGCTTCTATCTTGTTACCTCTTGCCACTGTCGACCGGACTGGTTGTGTGGTCTTGTTCATCTCTCATGAGGTACTTGTCGACCTGCGAAGTAGTTTGCCGGCCTTCTGAGATAGCCCAAACTACCAGAGATTGGCCGAGCCGGCAATCCTCGGCTACAAAATGTCCATCCACGTTTGGTGAGAAGTCTTTTTGTTTATTTTGAAGTATATTTTGTTTTTAATTTTACCTTTTAATTTATGTGTAAACTTTTTTTTATCTGTTGACTTTTATTGACTATTTGTTCAATTTTTTTTATTTGCTCAAAATTTTTTCCTATCTGTTCAAAATAATTCCAATCTATTAAAATTTTTTCCCTATCTGTTCAATTTTTTTTACTATCTATTCAATTTTTTTCTCTCTATCTATTCAAATTCTGTGGATTTCTCTCTCTATCTGTTCAAATTATGTGGGTTTCTCTTTGTTCTTATCTATTTGAAACAATAACCGTTGAAATATGTGTTTGTTTTTTTATTATCTCTTCAATGCAATTACATATCTGGTCATCTAAGCTAACATTTATCATCATGATCACCATCAATATCATCATCATCATCAACAGCAACTTATCAACAACAACAACATATAAGAAAAAAAAAATATTCATACAAAAGAACAAAAAAAAGAAAAAAAATGATGAGCGACGCAACAAAAAAACTCCATTATCTATTATCCACTATCTATTCAGATTTGAGCAACCCTAGAGACAAATTAAAAAAAAAATACAAACCATAACAAGATCTGGATTAAACAATTTCAAGCCCAAAGAACCAAAAAAAAAATCAAATGTTTATGATCTGTTGAAATTTTCCTTGTTTTTTTATACAAATATAGAATCCAATCTTGAATGCAAGAATAGATATA